GATATCATTATATGTATATATGTATGTATGTATAGTATACTGTGTGTATATATATATATATCCCGTATATCACACGGGAAGCGAAGTAGTTGAGAAAGTAAGTTTGGAATAACCATGGATCTATTAATAATAGGTCCATGGAATAACGTTAGGCCTACAACCGGTGTACCATGCATGGTACGAGCAGATGTATAAACACGTTACGCGTTCCTGTTTGAAGAGCTATCGCACTTCTACTGCTGCAACTTCACTGGGATATGATACCGGATTGTCTTTCAACATTTTCTTAACAAACATTACATACAAGTACACGGGTCATCATGAAATCTTGTGCAATGCCATGGGTCAGGTTTTGTCAGGCGTCAATATAATTCATAAATAGAATTTGTTGTATTATGATTATAGGCAGGTTTAGGCTTTATTTATTTCAGAAATATAATTGGATAATAACACTACTGATATTATTAGAGAAATAAATCATTTTCACATCCACAAGCCATTAAAACACTAGAACGCTTTGTGTTACGAGATAATGCAGGTCTATGTAAACTAGGATATTTTGTTTTAATTTAAAAGCATACTAGCTCCAGGTAAAAATAATAATTTATATTAAAATGCTGCCTTCGAAAAATTGCCAGAACGTTTAATAACAACTGTACCAAATCCAGTAGTTAGGCCTATATCAGACCCAGGAAAAGCCATTTAAATGATTTTGAAGACATGGATTTGACATATTATTGAAAGGATCATAAAAATCACCCTCACCATCATCGTCATCTTCATCATCATCATCATCATCCTCATCATCATCATTATCATCATCATTATCAAAATAATAAACATCATCATCATTAGAATTATTATTCAAGTCAAAATTATAGTTACTATTAATGTGATCGTCATCATCATTAGTACCACTGTTAATATGCTTGGTAGATTGTTATTTACATGGTATAACCTAGTTAACTCTAACATTAGTCCTACATTATCTAATTCCAAAGATGTTTAAACATGCTTTATATCCTATGGGCCTAAAGTAATCTTCAATGTTAGTATCAATCAAAATCTGGGCCGAATAACTTGAAGAGTTCGCAATGTTTCTTCTAAATTTAAGGTAACGATTGTTAGTATCAAGTCAAGTCAATGCGGACCTTCCGCGACATCCTAAGCCGCGATGATGACTTATCTAGGCCACAAACCTCCTTCCAAGCGTCCGTCGCAAATAGACCACGATATCGCCTAGCATAATAAATAGGGTAAAGAAATAATACACCAATCACGCTATATGTTGCTCTAGTTTTGACGAAACACCGGCAAATTTTTAACCGAAAAATATCTTCTAAAGTTTACACACGTGGACAAAACACACAACTGACTTAGACATGGGATCAGTGTGTGTTTTGTTATACAATTTATTTAATTGGGGTCTACACAAACACTTTCTATTGATTGGCGTAGCATTTTATTGGGAACGTCCGGACGCTTTGCGAGTCAGCGGGAAGATGTGGTTACAGAAAGTCATTGATGCAATAATATTATTACTCTCAGTGTAGAACGTGACAAAGTCAGGATGATCCAAATATCTAGAAATATAACATATTCCCCGGCATTGTATGAACATCGCTCGTGCTGGCATAAAATGTAGACAAGGCCTAGTTCAACCTTCTGTGGAATAGTTTCTGTAATTTTGTTTTATTTAGTTCTGACAATGGGACAGCTTTTAAGCTGTCAGGGGTACCAAGGAGGTCTACTGAGGTATTTAGGTCAGTATGAACTAGCTAAAATTCAGAATAAAAATAAATATCGATAAAATATCAGGTAAATTAATGTTTGGTGGCATGTAGGCCTACCAAACTTAAAACACTTCAAAGACCCAGGTCTATGTAAACGGTGAAAGGTTCCACGTGTGCTTCAATTTGAGAGGCAAACATAATCACATACTGTAACACATACAATTCGCAGCACGATGCACTATGTCGCATGTTATGAATGTAACATTATTAGGTTTCGTTATTATCACTATCATCGACATTTCATCACCATATTTATTATTAATTTCAGTATCGAGCTTTTATTAATAGAACTTATCTTTATCAATATTACTATCATCAGAATCATCATCATTATCATTAACATCACCATCAACATCATTATTATCATCATGATCATCGTTGTCATCATCACTATCATCGTTGTCGTCATCATCATCATCATCATTAGGCTAAGTTAATATTTTCATTAAACCCTTTAATTGGTGTGTTATTGAGCTTTGCTTTTATTTCAAATTTTTTTATTATTATTATTTTGGAGTTTTGTTAATTGTGAATGGTTTCTTTTAGTTTTCGTTTATTTTTTGTAATGTTGTTGTGCCGAAATTGAATAGGCTAAGTTAATTTTTTTTTTAAGTCGAGTTGTTTTTATTAGTAAGCTAGATAACGGTATTGTATCTTTCTCCTCATACCACCTTTTTTCTTTTTTTTGAAGATAATAGGCCTAACTTGATGCTTTTATTTTGGACTATACAATACTAAAGGCAGTTTGACATTCATGAGTGTCTTGGCCTATATTAGTAATCAATAGAGGACTACATCTATTGTAGTATGCTGGAGCTCGTCATCGCTTGTTCAGCATCTGATTGAGAACATCTGTAGTTTTTTTTCTATAATGTCTATGTAAACGTACTATTTTAAAATAAAGAAATAAAACAGGAATATAAACAGTTTTGCACATACCATGGAATATTTTAAAATGTCTAAAAGGAAGAGTGAACATGCTTCCTTTATCTAATTAACAGTCAGTGTTTTCGTGTTAAAATGTCAATGATTCTAAATCCAAGACCGCTGTCGCCGTTCCCAGTTGTTTTTTTTTTCTATGTCTCTTCAAATATACCATTATAAAATTATGAAATAAAAAAGGTTTACAAACATTTTTGCACATAATATAGAATATTCTAAACTGTCTAAAAGGAAGAGTGCATATACTTCCGTTTATCTAATTAACAGTCAGTGTTTACGCGTTAAAATATCAATTATAGATTCTAAATCCAAGACCACTGTCGCCTGACTCCGTATCATTTTCTTAAACGCATCCACGTAAATGAAGAGATTTGAGCGGCGGAACCAGCCCGCGGGTCTGCGGCCTGTGCACACGAGGGCATTTCCGGTAGAAGTCGTGCCACAGAGCGCAGAGTTATCACGTTTGATATCAGCTACGCGTGTCCATCGGTATTAATATTCATATTAGAATGTGTTAGAATACTACTTGTTACCATTTCTCGGACCAGTTGACCAGACGCTAACATGAGCACATGTTAAATGAACCGTTCCAACAGACCATCACTCACATTCTGGAATGCAATTATCTTTTTCCAACAATGACTGTCTCCCTCTCCTCTGAAGTTCTTATAACTCTAGTGACGAAGTTCTGCATTTTACTTGGCTATAGACATAACGGTAAATAAAAGGTTCCGTCGTCTTCATGAATGCACATCGAAATATTTTTTTTTTAAATCTATAATGCGTTATTATAATATTGTAGGCCAATATATACTATATAATATAGTAGTGTATATTATAGGCTTCAAATGCAATTTAATATAAGCCTAATTGTGATTAAACTATTGCCGCATAAAGCGAGTAGGCCTAACGTACTGTGTTGAATATGTCTATAAGGGAAAAATAAATAACAGATATCACCCAAAGACAGGAGGACAACATGCACGTAACGATTCGCAGATTGATCACAGTAACAACCAATAATAGCAAAATACCTAAACATTTCTGAAAAAAAAGTAAAAGTGCCAAAAAATAGTAATTTTCGAAGACAATCACAAAAATAGTCAATGACTTGCATTGTACTCTTGACTTTTGCTTTTGCTCGAAAAGATGGAGAATACAACCGTAATGGAGAAATGAAAGGCTAGCGGCGTCTAATACAAATCCACTATTGCAAAAAAAAATGTTAACCACTGTAGTAACTTTCCAATCGAAGTAATGCGTCCATGGTAGAAGTCAGTTACAACTGAATGGTTATTATGTAGCAGTGAAAAAACCCTACCAAATTATACATGCCTATACATTGGCTAAATAATTTCACACAATGAACATGCAAAAACAGAGGTTGGTGAAACTTTGTTATCCTTTACGCTAAACTTAAAAATAGCACACGTTTCCGAATGTTTTTTTTTTTTTTTTTTTTAAGTTCAAACAATTACTTTAATGAGCGATAGTATGCTACATAACTTAAATTATGTCTTCATTCATATCGCTGCAATCGTTAGTGAAGTGTATTTTATAAAATATACACTGTTTAAAGTTTGAACCTACATTTTAATCTCTTTCAATCTCAATATTATCATATCATTATTTATTTTCCAAAATGTAGTGATGGTGTAGTTTCATGAAATGAAGCTATAATTGTCAATCCTTCTAACTATATATTGATTTCTGAACATTGTTTTATTCATGGTAAATTTTATTAGGTGTACGTATATTCAACTATAGCTTATTATGTAGTATGAATTATGAAAATAAAAAGCAGTTAACCTGATTCGCTTTTTTTTCCTGGGGAAATCGTTGCAATATATAGTTGGTGGCGCAGTTCCAAGAATAGTGATGATTGTGTACAACCTTGGCAATTGTTTCTAGCATATACGTGCCTTATCAGTAATAGATTGGAATACATTTCCTACCTCCTACCTCGCTAATTGTTGGCTCTGTGCACTTCAGAGCCATCGGCAAAAATCATGAGATGCATTTCCAACATAATTTGAACAAAGTATATGAACGAGTTTCAGCTGTTTATTTTTCCAATTTTGATAAATTAGTTATTGTTTTAAATAATACAAATAAGATAAATACGGTGATGCCAATGATGAAGATGATAATAATAATATTGATAATAATAAAAATAATAATAATAATTATTATTATTATTATTATTATTATTATTATTATTTATTATATTAAATAAATGTTATGTGTAATGATGAGAAAAATAAGGGTGATGAGGCTGAAAATGACGATGAGGAGGATGAGATTGACGATAATGATAATGACAATGAGGATGATGATATAACGAAATAAAGATGACATTACAGATGATGCACAATTCTGAGAAAGCTTATGATGATTACAACTATAATGAAGATTTGGATGGCTGTTGTGATGAATATAAGTGTGTATGATTATGGTGATCATGATGATGATGATTAGAATAGTCTTGATGATTATTAGTGGTGATAATAATTGTGATGGCAAAGGATGAAGGTGATGACGACAATGTTATGATGATGATGATGATGATGATGATGATGAAGATGATGACGACGATGATGATGATGATAATTATGATGATGATGATAATAATGATGATGATGATGATGATGATGAAAATAATCGATGATGACCACAACAACGATGATACTTACAATGGAGTGACGATAATATTGATGCTGATGATGATATTGTTACAAAAATGCCATAAAAATGATGATGATGTTTGTGTATTACTGTAATTAATAATTAATCATTTGATGTTTTTATATTACTTTCCTTCGATGTTTTTATATTACTGTTCTGTATTATTGTAAGTATCATTAAATTCAGTCCTCGACTGCGATTTTGATATTGAATAAAAGAAAGGGAAAAAATGATGATGATGATGATGATGACGATGATAACACAACAACGATAAAATAACAATAAAACTAAAAAATATTAATACAGAGATTATTTTAAATTTTAAAAAAAGTTAAAGGAAATTAAGGAGTTCGAAGGATTGTAAAAGATTGTTCTTTATAATAAACCAATGAAATAAAAGAAACAGAAATGAGAATATACAAATTACACTGAAAACCGTGTATGTAGTTCGTGATTTGTTGTTAGCATATAATAATATATTTTATATGTTTAAACACAGGACACTGGAATTAGAAGAAATGCATATTGACCACCATAATAAGTCCTCCACTATAATATCATTGCATGTACAATGTTGCACTGTGTTCATTCTTCTATATACGCCAATAATTAATCATTTGATGTTTTTATATTACTTTCCTTTGATGTTTTTATATTACTGTTCTGTATTATTGTAAGTATCATTTAATTCAGTCCTCGACTGCGATTTTGATATTGAATAAAATGAAATAAAATGAAAAAAATACATTTGTTATAGGCCTATTTTATTTTGGTATGCGATTTGTATAAGCCTAATTATGCACCATATAATATTCTAATTATTAATTATTCTTATAAATGGTCTATTTCTTAATCTGTATGGCGTATTTATTAAACTTATATTGTTTCCCATGCCACGCTTTACTTTAATATATAATTTGCATGGGACCTAGGCCTACAGTATGCAAGTTATTGTACTTTTTGTACATTCAGTGAAGCAGTGCTACCGTATGTTTGGTCACATCCTTCTCTTGGGTTCAAATTCTTTTTGACTTTAAAGCTGTCATGTTGATATTATTGAGGATTTTCTTTTTGAAATTATTATTATTAAGAAATATAATCAATAGGCCTAATATTTAAAAATATATAAACGAAACCGAAAACTATTGCATTACTTCCCTTTTTAGGGCTCCAATAACACGTATCAATTTTCTCTAGGCCTTGAAAAATAACACTTTTAGGGAGCAGATGTTTTGAAGTTCATTTTGACACAAAATGGGTGCCATAAAAAGTTGGTTGTACCTTGCATTCCAAACGATGACATAGAAAACAAGGAGGACGTACCGCGGCGATATAGCGGCCAATCTGTCACCCAGTAACTAGATATTTCTACGGGTCGAGTGGTTCGAGATAGACCCAGTGGGTTTTCAGTCCAATCAATGTTGCGAATGCAATTTTAAACAGGGGAGGTCCAACTTATTACTGTCAACGGTTTTGGAGGATAAGCTTACATTTTTAGCTGTTAAAAATGTACTTTTAGCAATGCTAACATACATAAAAGTTATTTTATAAAATAGTATTTCTTATAGTTAATCACTTAAAAATAAGTTCGCTTGCAATATTTATTTAGATTTAGAAAATTCGTTGATTATGTTGAAAGAAAGTGAGTTAATAGTTGCAAATTCAAAATTTGCTTGTATCCCCCAAAAAAGCGTACGCTTATTATTTTATGAAAAATGGTATTAAAATGTACGATAATACAAGAATAAATTGTAATTATATAATATAATTCAAATAGGGCTAACTGTAACACAATTTGTTGTCATAAATATCATATATTCGTTAAAACAAATGTTACTGGGCATTGTCTTCGAAAACGTTGATAACAGAAATAAGATAAACTATGGTTTATATCATACTCTTATCTACAGTACTTACAATATATTACTAATAATAAGTTAAATCAGATAATTATAATAGGTCTATGTTTGTTTTTTTAATAATGTAATAGTATGTCAGTTATTAACAAAATGAACGCTGATTAATTATTGATTAACTACTTTTTATACCATCGATAGCAACACAGTTTACGAAATTAGCATTTTGAAAAGGGTGCTTTAATTATGATATATTTTATTGCATTGAAAGTGTACATTCGATCGATATAATTATATTATTACTCTGAAGTGGAAAGATGCATGATCCGCTACGAAAAAAATAACAAACAAAAAAGCAAAAAACAAAAAAGCAAAAAGCAAAACAAAACAAAAAAATACAAATACAGAATATTATTATTACCCTAAAAAAACAACTATATGTTGTAAATAGTCCAACCTATTATCTATTTAATTTAGGACAACGTAAAATTGAATTTCAACAAGCGAGTTTAAGAGACAGTTATTTATAACGATCTCAATTCACCAATATAAACTCTCAGTAACTCGGTTAAATATACAGTTGGAATGCACGGAAGTGTTGAGTGTTAGCAAATTAGTAAAGCTGGTTATTAAAAAAATTATTAGCAACCAGATGTAACGGAATGCCCAAAGATGGACACAAACCCTGGTAGGCTTACAATGTTCTTCGTTTATTTTACATCATTTCCCCCCACCTGTATCAAGCATCAATACAAGACGGTAAATTAGAATGAAATTGAAGGTCATACAAGTTCGGAGCAATCGCTGCATGATCAGGGCTTACATGATCGGGCCTTCTTTTTCCTACTTAAAATCAGTTTGCGAAACCCTGACCTTAGCGGCTTGCGTCCATTGAAGCTGTTACCAACGTAGGGGTCGATGCCTCATTGAAAATTCCCCCAGAACGGCCTACTCCGGCGTAAATTTTCTTTCAATTACGCGCCGCATCTGTTCAAGTATTGGTGCAGTTGTTGCATCGATATTAGGCGTTTTACCGGTATGGGGATTTAATTGCCCAGACATGTGTTGGGGTAGTTGTAACATTTTACATTGTACCGGTCTTAGTAGACGGTTAGTAATATATTTCACTTTTAACGACTAAGCCTGCTGGGTACCAGGTGCCAATGTGAATGTCGCGGGTGCGAGCCTATTTGTCCCGCGCAGACGTGTGACTAAGCGTCCTTGTCATTCTCCATGTAACACTAAAATCTGATATGTAAGGATGAGAGTTATGAAAACACAATTGTTCTTGCACGTTCACAGGATTGTAATTTATGTTCGTTATCCAACTGGTAAAATAACGATTCGCATTTCAATATGCATTTGTTCAAATATATTAAAATAACACTACCGTATCATGTAACTAGAATTAATTCAATATTCTACTGCAAACGAATTGATTGATTGTCTGGTTTGATGATTACCTAATATAAAATCATTCCACCTGAAAGTATAGTATATGCATTTTTATACCTCCATGGTATATGTAAGGTAATATTTTTTGATTTATTACATTTTTTTCAAGAAGTGTATTTTAAACTTCGATATTTTTCTTTTTTTTTTGACAGGTCTAATATAAAAACTACGAAATATGATAGGCATGCTCGTGGAAACGAAAACATGTTAGATTTTTTTCTCAATTCACACTAGGATATATTAATTTATTACAGCTGGTTATAATCATAAAAGTGGAAAATAGTATGGTTAACTCCACTACCTAAGCATATAGATATTTAAAACTCTGTTAATCCAAGTTAGGCCTATACTAGTGCATCGGGTGTATGTTTGTCTTGGGAAAGATTGTCACATAGAAAACTGATTAAGTTTGTTATTGACACATCCTTAAATTTTATAAAATGATAATAAAACTTGATTCAGCATTTTAAATTTATTTTTTTTAAATGTTATAATCCTATAATCAGAGCAAAATAGCGTGAAACCATAACATTAAGTCTACATGTTAACGATTGTTGTAGGCCTATTTGATGGTACGCTCAACGCCGTATTAAAGATACAGTGCATATATGTTGAGTTAATACATTTAAATAATGCAATTAAATACACACCTTTCTCACTTCGTAAATTAAAGTAAGTTTGTTAGTTTTTAATCAAGAGTGAGAACAAGGAAATTAATTATAACAGTCACATTATTTAACGTCTTGTTAGATTATTTTGTTGGTTGGATTACCGTTTCTACAGTATACTAATCGTTGCAGATACCATCGGCCTAATTGGATGGTAATCAGTTTAAGAGTTTTCGTAGAAAAAAAAATCTGAAATAGAGCTTAAAACCTCTTTGTTTTTTCGATCTGTCTTATTGTTTAATCACTTTAATTTCTTGAGATTTTTTGTCTTTATATTTTTACTGCATATCAGAAGGGCTACGGTATATAGGCCTATTCAAAGAAGATATTTTTTTAATATAATCACAAATATTTCTTTTGTATATTATACAGATATAACTTTAAATAGACAATCTAAAGTGTTCTTTTTCAATATGACTCGTATATAAATTCGTTCGTTTTGACACAACACGTTTATCTTCAAATTTATCAACACTTCCAGGTTCATCGTGCTGTGCTATAGGCCTAATGAAAATAATGTTTAATCTTTTGTAAATGTATTTGAATGAAATTATGTTTTTACAAAGTGGGTATCTAAAATAGACACATAAACTTAGATAAATATAATTCACTATTTATAAATTATATAATTAAATAGACTTATGATGATGTTATTCTATTAATTTATTTTTTTCATTTTAATGTA